CAAGCATATAAGCTAAAGTGAAGTATCCCCAAACGCTCTCGAATCCGCTTTTTCTTCTTCGTGGGGTTGATTTTAGATTTATCATTTCTTCTTAATAATCTGGTAAAAAATGGAAGCGCAAGAAAAAACAAGAGGAGCCAGTCGAGAACGTAAGAGTGTACATATGATTCACTGTGAATTTCACATCGATGAATTGGGATTTTTCAGCTCATTTTGGGCTTTCTAATAGTGTGAGCTGGTGATGGGTTTTTTTATGATATGAAAATGTGCATAAATTTTGATTCGTGTAGTATGATTAATTGGCTGTAGGTGTTGTTTTCATTGTTACTAGCAAACGAAAATATTCTAATGCTCCCATTTTTGTGATTGAAAGTGCAGAAAGAATATGTAATCTGGAAAATGCATACATATAAACATTGGGTGGATGATAAAGAGTGTTTCCATGTTGTCTTACTTGTCGAATGTTGATTAATTTACGCTAGTGATCGGTTGAGGATATGTGTGTGGTATTGATAGGTTAATGTTGTTGTCTGTGAAGCGAACCAAAAAATTGGCCGGAACTGTAAACTGGGGTACAACAACTATGGTTGGAGTATTTGCTGGCATGTTATATGGAGGTAGCAAAGAGGCTTCTACATCTGTTGTAAGTATGAATCCCTTTATGGGTATTATCGAGTAGATTTTTTTTTTTCCTTTTCTCTATTTTTGTGGACCTTATGTTTGAATGTTATGGTATTAGGCATGTAATTAATTTATATTTACTAGTTGAATGATTCATTGAATATTTCAACGAAAAATCATGCTGGTACGCGGTATGTTCTGAAGCTAGTAATTTTATTGGTTGGGTAAGTCAATGCTGGTTGGAATAATGTAACTATAAAATGAAGAAGTTGAGTTTTGTAAAAGATGTTTTATAGTGCACAACATCTACAAGTTGGTGGGTTAACTGATTTAGCACGGGTTAGTTGTTTGAGTTGACACAAAAGGCATGGGCTCCAATTATGTGTACCAACAAACACAATTCTGAGTTTTACCTGTGGCTCTCTTTGGCGATTATTGGAGTTGAAAGCTCTATCGCCAAAAGTTGCTTTGTGATAATTGCTATGATGGTGTTCCTGTTTGATTGATGCTATTTTTCCAGCTAAACCTTTTCAGCTACTGCTGGGAAGGTTTTACCTTTAAGCATTCCAAGTTCAGCTACAGATAACACTTTATCTAATAATCAAATGGAACTTAAAATTTTAAAATCTAACTAACCATGTGCACAGTAATCTAGTTTAAGGGTTGCTCATAGGCTTGCTAATTTATTTTGTAATTGATAGTTGAGATCTTTGACTTTGTGCATGATTTTTAATTTTCAAATGCTTGAACGGGACTTTGTTGAGGGAGTTTGCATCTTTATTACAGAGCAAGGATGCAGAGGTAATGTTTATTGTAGCAAATTATTTTATTTTTTTACCGAGTACCGAATCGAAGGATTCGTTCCCCGGGTCGATCTCTCGAGGAAGACGGTTCGGAATTTAGCGTTGGTCTTGATCACACACGAAAAGAAAATAAGTCCTAAACACTCTAATCACGATTGATTTGGGGAATCAACTAAAACAAGCTAGAACTAGAAAAATAATTTAAAGAAATAACAATTAAATTTCTAGAGAAAAAGAAGAAGTTCTAGGGGTCGGAAATCTCATCAAGTCTTAAACTATGTTGAACGCTTATTTGTTCGGTTACGAGATTAAACAAGCCTACACGTCTAGAGGGCTATGCTCAATAACTCTTCGTAACAAGAGCACAAACATAAACGATAAATTCATTCAAACAAGCAACACATAGACAATACTTTTACGAACATGTCTACTCTATACGAGCCTAAATCGACCGACGTCTCCCCTCTCGGTTCTAAACGTCGATTAACTAGGTTAGAATGGTGATCAATCAACTAACCATATAATTCACACAACTCGTATAGATTGAAAAAAACACATTCCTCATAATTCAAAACAAGAATCAAAATCCCTAACCCTAGGTGAATGGATTACCTCATGCTTAGATTCAATTTCATGTTAACCAGAATTAAGAACATTAAACCAATCAACAATAATAAAATAGAATTGAAAAACTTACAATCGGATTAAGAGTTGCAAGATTTCAATCCAAATATCTTTGTGTCCAACAATCCAAGCATGAGAGAAAAAAAAGAAAAGCGGAGAAATTTATCCTAACAATATTGAGTTTTTGGAGAGAAAAATTGAAAGGAACGATATTGGGGATTGTTCCCACGAGTCTAAGTATCGTTTTGATATATAGTGCGTGAAAAACGGAGCTAAAACGAGTAAAAACGAGCAAAAATAAAAACAGGGTCGGCCCAGTCGCGAGTCAGTCGCAACTTTGCCTTTTCCTCGGTCGCGAGTCGCGCGTCGTCATTTTTTTAATATTCTGGGGCTGGTCGCGACCCAAGTCGCGAGTCGCGACCTTAACTCGCGAGTCGCGACCTTAACTCGCGAGTTGCGACTTCGACACGGAACTGCTCCTTAAGCCTCAGTTTTTCTCGCGAGTCGCGACTTTGGACTGCATTGCGCAATTTTACATTTCGGGCTCGTTTGGGCTGGTCCGAACTCAGAATTGAGTTCCGTTTTTTGCTATGCGTCACCAATGAACCCCTCTATTAGAATATGCGCTCGAAAAAAACTTTTTCTGAAGAGAAAATTCTCCCGAAGCTCCCGACCTACACACCAAAAACGACAAAACACAAAAGAAAACCGAAAAAACAAACGAAAAACACCTAAAGACTCAAAATAAAGGAAAACGCATAATAAAACACGAAATGGACTAAAAACTAAAGAAACGACCTAAAACGGGGGGAAAAGAAAGATAAAATAAACACGAAAAATACAACAAGAATGGGACAAACAACTCCCCCACACTTAAACCTTTGTTCGTCCCGAACAAAAAGAAAAGAAAAGAAAAGACACAAACCTAAACCGAGCATGGACAACAGTCATTAACAAGATAGCCTCAACATGTTCAACTTCAACAATGAGCATTCAAATGGCATATACGAACTTAACATGACTACATGCTTGATCGCTAAACTTTGATATGACGTCCTCTCAAGTATGGGAATGTATATGTGTGCCTCACTCAGATTCTTATACAGATAAAGATAGGTGCACTCAAATTGGTCGTATCAAGTTCAATCATATTCTTGCCCATTATCTAACTTTTACTCTAAACCAATCAAAATCGAAATTAGTGAATCAAAAGGTCTTTCAGGGTTGTAACGTAGGCTCTTTTTATTGGTAGGATAAATATAGGCTAAGTGGCTCGAATACATAACTCAAACTCCTAAACCAAGAACTACAAGCTCAATCGGTTGCTCAAACATACCGGATCATCCCCCCACACATCTCCTAAAACCACACGCTTCACCCAATTATTCCCTTTTTTTTTTCTTTTTTTTTTTTTGTCTTTTTTTTTGTGTAAACCGTTTTGGACATTTTATAATCCATTCGGCTACACCTTTTTTTTTCATTGAATATAAACACAACTCCAACAAACAACTCCAACAGTCATCCCTTCCAATTCTTAACCCGCAATACCAACAACGTCATCATCACTAGGGAATAATTTGCAGTAAAAGAAAAGGATAGAAAGATTCAATAAATGCCTTAATCATATTCACCGCTCACAATCCTAATTGATTCATTTCAATGCAGACTCAAGGCAAGTTCTAATCAAACAAGAGCACGACTAATGCATCTCAAGAAACAAATAAGGCTCAAACCTCACTAGGTAGATATATGAATGCCAATCAAAGTAATCGACCAAGCATTTCATCATGCTATGCCTCATATGACCAACATCACAACTCATCGAATTCATCAAACAAGTCTTAACTAATCTTAAAATTTCCAAAGTCCATACTCACAAAAATATACAAAACCTAAACTAGACCGGTCCACCACATAAGCATGCAAAATCCACGTAAACTATGCTAGAAGATAAGTTATTTCCAGCTCATATATATGTCATATGTGTTCAGTTATGATGAGATTTTTACCTAGCTATGAAAAATCTGGAAATATATGCTTCCTATGGTTATTTCTTGTGTAAAAGAAGAGTACATAGGATCAAGAATCAAGTCATTTAGTTTAGTATAACTCAAGATATGAATTTTTAAAGTTTATCATGCAAGCTGAATTTTATGTACTTGTTTTCAGCAGAAACTTTAAACTTGAATACGTCGAGATATATGTATGATAAAATTATGAAATTTTTATGACATATCTAATTATGAGTTAAGAATATGACTGTTAAATTTCATAATTTAAAGATGAGAAATGAAGGAGTTAAGATAATAAGATGGCATATATGTAAAGATGAGTATATATGCAAGAATATTCATTATATGATCAAATTGTTAAAGTGAGATTTTTAAGAATAATTCTCATATGACTTATGAGAAATTTGACAAAGTTTTTGTTTAATATGTTGAGTTTACAATTTTTATAAAGATTGTTTTAAAACTCACATATTAAGATCATAATTTAGTATTATGATTAAAAGTTGTATTGTCTGAGTATTAAGTTGAAATATTTAGTACCATACAAGTTAAGATGAGTTCATTATTTATAAATCATGAATATGATGTTGGTAAAAGTTAATCACGTTTTGAGTTTAAATACTCAATCAAGAATAATGTGAAATTTAGTTATTTTCACACTCGAGTTATTTAAGTGACATGCGAGTATAAGCCAATATCTATGATTTTGAAGACATGATTTATAATAGACCTTGAGTAAAAGTTCAAGAAAAGTTAAGTTAAGTATTAACTTGAGCAATAGCATGTCTATTAAATTTCTATAAGATTTGGATAAGTTAAAGATCCTAGCATCTTATTGAGTATATGATCATAGTACTTAGTATATTTGTTTATATTTTTATGTAACTTGCAGATACAGTTACCCAGTACAGCACTTACCCTTTTTCAAAAGTTTTCAAAGAAGAAAGGTGGGGACCCGGAGTGGGTACCACATTGAGTACGATATTGATAAATGTTTAAGTTTATATGCTTGAGATGAGGAGGCCATCAGTTGTCTCAGAATATATCCTAAGTTCTGATTTATACGCTTGGGATGAGGAGGCATTAAGTTGTCTCGGAGTATATCCTAAGTTCTGATGGAGGCCGTTTAAGTTGCCTTGAGAAATATCCATCAGAGTGTGCACACATATCCGATCAGATATCGGAAGAGAAAGAGAAAATATGAAGTTTCAGTACCAGAATAGATTTCTGGTTACCGATCAGATATCGGTTTATGATTATCTTTATTCAATACTCATCCCCATAAGTTTATTTTCAGGTAACAGGTCGAGGAGGAGGTGTGAGTGGAGCATTGTTGGTGTGGATCGTGGACTCGTACTATAACAAGCTTTTATATGGACATTTATAACAGTCTGTATAAATAATCACGTTTAAGTATTTCCGCTATGCATATTAAGATTTGAACTTGCATTTTAATAAATTTCAGTTTTCAATTTTTACCATTCAGAAGTATGAATATGGTATAATGCAAGTTTAAATAAATCTGTTTTCTTTATGTCTAAAGAAGTATTAGACAAAATTTAAAGATAAACGGATTTTCAGAAAAGAGGAGTTTGAGTAGCATCCCTAGTTAGTCGCAAAAGATTTCGAAAGATTTATAAGTATTTTCGAAGTAAAAGTTGCGAAAAAGTTACTCTGATAAGCGGGGTGTTACAAGTGGTATCAGTGCTAGATTTTAAATGCTCTGTATACTAAAAGTTTAAGATTCTGAAAGAAAAAGTGATCAGAGAAGCCAAAGTCTTTACATAAAGTGTCAAGAAAAACCGACCACACCTCACTCACACCTCGCCGACTACCGGGTAAGTGCCGTTAAAAGTTTTATATGAGTTTTTAAATATATTCAAATTTACTAAGTTTATGC